GATGTTAGTTAGTTAGTTAGTTAGTTAGTTAGTTAGTTAGTTAGTTAGTTAGTTAGTTAGTTAGTTAGTTAGTTAGTTAGTAGTAATTTAGTAATAACATCTTGCTTTACTGCTGTAAATCTCACAGGGTAACTGCTCACTTCTTTCAAAAATGTTGTACAGTATTTGTATCATGGGAAGATCAAGAAATAAAGAGGAAGAGTTTTTCTGCTCCTGTGTTTAACTTTTATACATACAAATAGATACAAATAATGATAGCTTGTCTACTTTCTGACACTTAGTCTGTCACAGGGCAAAAGCAAATAACACAAATAAAAGTACATTCCATTTGAAAGTGAGCTTGGTATAGTGATTAAGGCAGCAGGCCAGAAAACAGGAGACTCTGAGTTCTAGTCCCGCTTTAGGTTTAAAGCCAGCTCAGTAATTTTGGGTTAGCCACTTTCTCTCAGCCCTTCTCTCAGAAGGAAGCAATGGCAAACCATTTCTGAAAAATCTTGCCAAGAAAATTACAAGGGCTTGTCCAGCGAGTCTCTGAGACTCAGACTGAACAGAAGGGAGGGGGAAATCATTCCATTTACTCCGCAAGACGTTCCCTAACTCCTTTCCATGCATTTACACATCCCAAGCATAAAGTCTTTTTCTAGTAAATGCTGGATTATATAGTATCAATAAATGTAACTTGTTGGCAAACAAAAACAGCCTCCAATAAATTATGAAATTCATCTGAAATAAGGAAGTAGCCAGGTTTACTTTAGTTTCTAATAACCATTAACACATTAAATGCAAGACCAAGCATATAGCATAGACATATAAGGTTGGAAAATTGGTGTTTTAACCGTTCAGTTTTAAAAAGCTGTTTTTAATTGGGAATAATGTGAAATCATTGGACCCTGTAAGATGCAAAAAAATTCCATGGAGAGTGTGAAGAAAGGAAATGTATAAGCAATGATATAGAGCAGTAATGGCTAACTTTTTATAAAGTGTGCCAAAACTGTGTGTGCAAACACTATTGTGTGCGTGAGGGTGTGCCCACCCACCCGCGCATGCATGAGTGACCCCACCACCATGCATGCGTAAGCGACCCCCGCATGGGAAAGGATTTTCACCCTCCCCAGGCTCCTGAGGATTTCCTGATTTCCAGCCTTCCAAAGGGCTGGGGGGAGACTGTTTTCGTCCTCCCCAGGCTTCAGGAAAGCCTCCAGAGCCTGGGGAGTGTGAAAAAGGCCCCCACGGCCCTCTGGAAGGCTGGAAATCAGTTGGCCAGCATGCACATGTGTGCTGGAACTGAGGGCTGCCAAGGGCTGCTGTGCCAGCAAATATGGCTCCGTGTGCCACCTGTGGCACATGTGCCATAGGTTTGCCATCACGGATATAGAATATAGTCTCCAACAATTCCACAAACTGTTTTGACTAACAGTTCATGAAATACTACTTTAAATTAATGTTGATGATATAACATACAGTATGCACAAAAGTAATTTTTAATAAGGGGGGGGGGAATCTCCACCTTCTTTTATTTTCTCATGTGTCTGCATTAATCATTTGATATTAATGGTTCTCAGCACATCTTCTGTCAAGAAATGACCTTAACACAGGAAACATTTTGTTCTCAACAACCTTGAAAATTAACTATTAATATGGCTAAACTTGAAATGCAGGATACCTGAAAGAAACCAGAGTATTCTATTATTTCATGGTTTGATGTAGTCATCAAAGGTTACTCACCCTCATGTTTATAAATTATATACTGCAGGATTAACTTCCCCAGATTAACCTGTTTAAAAATAACAGATTATGAGAAGGGAGTTAGTAAACTTTATGTATCTGGAATTGAATCACCCTAAAAGCATTTACAGCTCAAGGCTTCATTCTTTCTAGAATTTGTACCTGATATTAAATTTAATTTTATGACATAAAATGCAAAAACAATTTTACTGTTGTTGTTTTTCTTAGAGCTATAATTATTGAATGTACTTTCATCTATATATATAAATCAAGAAAGTAGGGATTTTTCACAGAGGTGTAGAACCTATAATATACTTTAATAAAATGAAGAATAGACTAATGTTTTAATTTTTCTTTGCAAAGTATTAAATTATTATTACTTAATATACTCCAAGTATTAGATTAGCAGGCTAGTCAAAGTACATTTCATCAGGAAGGAAGGAACAGAAAAGTTTAATCTAGAGAGATTTCAAGTGAAAAAAATATATTTTATCTTTCTTCAGAGTAAAGTTTCATGCATAGTATGTCTTGAATACTTCAAAATTCAGAGCAGGCAAGGATTATTTTACAGTATACCTACAGGTAGGCCTTAATTTACAACAATTGGGATCAGATTTCCAGTCATAAATTGTTAAGGTTATAACTCCAGGCTCTTCACCAGTCCCTGCTGGTGAAGTTGAACCTCAAGGGTCAAGTGGGTCTGCTGTTAACGTACCTGCCTCCCAAC